TCGTCACTGAAGAGCTGAGCCCCCAGCCAGCGCTTAGCCAGGCGACACACTGCCCCGAAGCATGGGTGCTGCTGCTGGAGCCTATCGAAAACAAGATGCAATGTGTAAGATTGAGCAATGAGGAAAAAAAATGATACAAAAACAAGGTGAAACTAAGAGATAAGCTGGTCAGAGAAAATAAAACATATAAGCAAAACATTTAAAGGTTGAAATAGAAAACATGAATTAATTACCCATGTAATGTGCTGGTGAGTAGAGGCTTGTGAACAGTAGCCATCTCCAGAGCCTGAGCCTCCTCATTGTCCCTTACAACCAATAGTCCATCGGGATTTACACTTTCCCTCAGCACCTGAGGCTCGCGATGGTAGGCCACCTGGATTCGGAATGCCAAGCCGTCCTGGAAACAAAGGCAGAGAAGTACAAAATCTTAATGACCGAGTTCAATGATATCATAAAGGCCTCAGAGCAAGCTATTATTCCAACAGAACTCTTCTTTCAGAGTGCAGTAATTATGGTTCCTAAAGCCGTCAGCCACCTCTACAGTGGAATGAGCACTCAATTTGGGTTCAGGAGGCAGACACCCTCTTTACTTTCTTCTTTGATAAAGCCTATAGTTAGAGCTGGCTCAGGTGACCTGTGAGGCAACCCTTAGTTTTGCTGCTACCAGCCTTGACCTCCTATGATGCACTGAGCACCTCACATCTCTTCTCTTTCACTCTCTGTGCATTTTTAGGACACAATTACCCATCATTACCTTTGTATCTTCTCTCTTCCATAGTTTTCCTTTTTTTCTCTCTGTCCTCTCTGTGCAGGCACTACTACGCAACTATCTCACTTCATACTCTTTACTTTATCTTTTTCCTCTCTGCTCTCTTCTCACCCAACCCGAGCCCTGTTCTGTCTGATGTTCCTTCTAGATCAAAGACAGTTTTTCCTCCCCATTGTTGCCAAGAGCTTGCTCTTGGGGGAATTGTTGGGTTTTTCTCTGCATCACTTTAGGTATTGAACGTACTACATTAGGTGCCTCGAGATTACATATCTTAAAATTTAGCACCATATAAATAAAATGGACAATAATATCAATATTAATATAATGATATCTAAGTCAGCTGAGATAGGCTCCAGCCCCCCCGCGACCCTAATGAGGATTAAGCAGTGTACAGATAATGGATGGATGGATATAACAATATCACAAAATAATGCCACCAACTTTCCTGGACACACCTTAAACTTATATTTACATTCCAATTATAAAATGATCTTTAGTTTAAAAACATACCTTCCAGACATCCAAATGCGTTGGACAGGGTCTGCATGTATATTTATGGTGCTTCCTGAGTAATTCTCCCAGTTGGATGTGGAAGGCAGCTCGGATGTGGCGGATTGCGAGGCGGTCGTGAGGCCACTTTCCGCTTCCCTCCATGTGACAAATTACTGCAGAAACAAGGTTACCGATACATTAGTATAATAAGTTTGTCTCGCTTTATGTGGTCAAGTGGCTGCAATTTTAAACTCAGTGATTATTTAATTTTGCACGTGTGTTGTCCCAGATGAAAGAGACACAGAGACCACACAAGTGGTCATCCAAGGAAAAAGGCAAATAAAGCAAAGTTACAGTGGCATGCAAAAGTTTGGGCACCCCCGGTTAAAATTCCTGTTAATGTGAACAATTAAGCAAGTGGAAGATGAAGTGATCTCCAAAAGGTATGAAGTTATGGATGACACATTCTCTTTACATTTAAACAAAATCATTTTTTATTTTCATCTTTTATGTTTTCAAAATAACGACAAACGGAAAAGGGCTGCAGCAAAAGTTTGGGCACCCTGCATAGTTAATACCCAGTTGCACCCCTTTGGCTAGTATCACAGCTTGTACTTCTTGGAGCCAGCCAAGAGTCTCTCAATTCTTTTTGCCCATTCTTCCTTACAAAAGTCTTCCAGTTCTGTGAGATTCCTGGGCTTTCTTGCACTGCTCTTATGAGGTCTATCCATAGACTTTCAATGATGATTAGGTCAGGAGACAGTGAGGGCCTTCAGCCTACGCCTCTTGAGGTAGTCCATCATGGATTTTGAGGTGTGTTTAGGATCATTATCCATCTGCAGAAGCCATCCTCTTTTCAACTTCAGCTTTTTCACAGATGGTGTTAAGTTTGCTTCCAGAATTTGTTTAATTGAATCCATTCTTCCCTTTACCCGTAAAATGTTCCCCATGCCACTGGCTGCAACACAGGCCCAAAGCATGATCGATCCAGCTTAACAGCTGGACAGGTGTTCTTTTTATGAAATTCAGTACCCTTTGTTCTCCAAACATACTTTTGCTCATTCCGGCCAAATCATCAGTCCACAGGACTTGCTTCCAAAATGCATCAGGCTTGTCTAAATGTTGTTTTGCAAAATTCAGATGTTGAATTTTGTGGTGAGGACGCAGGAGACGTTTTCCTCTGATGACTCTTCCATGAAGGCCATATTTGTGCAGGTGTCACTGAACAGTTGAACAGTGTACCACAACTCCAGTGTCTGCCAAATCTTCATAGAGGTCTCTTGCAGTCAAACAGAGGTTCTAACTTGCTTTCCTAGCAATCCTACGAGCAGGTCTCTCTGATATTTTTCTTGGTCTTCCAGACCTTATCTTGACCTCCACTGTTCCGGTTAACTGCCATTTCTTAATTACATTCCTAACTGAGGAAATCCGTAACTGAAAATGCTTTGCTATGTTTTCATAGCCTTCTCCTGCTTTGTGGGCGTCAATCATTTTCAGTTTCAGAGTTCAAGGCAACTGCTCAGAGGAACCCATGGCTGCTGATTGTTGGGACATGGTTAGAGGAGTCTGGGTATTTATAAAGCTTTGAAACGTGCATCTCCTGGTCTTTCCTAATGATGATTGTGAATAAGCCATGACCCTATCAGGCTAATTAAGGTCTGATACCTTGTCAAAGTTATCTCCTGGGGTTCCCATTCTTTTGCAGGGCGTTGCTTTCATTTTTTCAGCTTAATTATTCACATTAACAGACATTTTGACCAGGGGTACCCAAACTTTTGCATGCCACTGTATGTTTCAGTGATTAAAAATTCCTACATAACACACGATCGATGGCACCCATTAACAGGAATATATCTACATGCAGTTTTTTTATTACAACAAAGAAGAATTAACAAACTCTTTATTGTGTTGGACGAAGCACTAACCTGTGATGGGGGTGATATACGCAGGGCATGGCTTGTCTTCCTTCGGCACCAATGATCTGCAGGTCTTTTCTTTGTCAAAAAAGGAGTAATCCGTCTTCAGAGGCTGAGGGGGAAAGACCTGCAAGGCATCGATGAAATCTTAGAACAGCCATGAAGTCAAAGTCACAATTTTATATCAAAGCAGTTACCAGCAACTTAACAAAAGCTCACTGAGCTGGAGTTGGATTACAGTTGTGTTTAAAATTGTGCTGAATTACTAGAATTTCACTAGTGGTACTTATCATTGCATTAATGAGAGCAGTTCCCTGTTCACAACAAGAACCTTTACCTGAGTGTATCTGAGTGCAGGGTGGGCTCCCTGCACAGCTGTGACGGACAGAGGCAGACCTTCCAGCCTCCACAGTTTTCTGCTCAGGTCATCGTAGGACTGAACCACCACTAAACTCTCCTCCTCCCCAGTACTGGGCACCTGAAGGGCAAAATAAAATAAATACGAGTTAAAGGAATGCTGTGTGTAAACATCATTATGGAGTATATATAATGTTCAAACAGTGACTCTGACACCCTCTTCTGGTGGGGTGTACTACTGCTTTTAACAACTAGTGATAATATAAAGTACGGCTGCACGACATATTGTTTCAGTATCTACATCATAATGTGTGGATTGGTCACATCGTAGGAAGTGTGACGTGAAGTACAGTAAATTAAATCTAATACATTATACAGTCAATATATCAATATTGATCAAAATACTCCATAAGCCTACAGTCCCAGTCAGCTGTATGTCATATTTCAGCAGCAGAAAGGATGACCTTGATCAAAAACAGGTGCTCTGTTGGCAGTGCAATCGTTTCTCCTACACAAAGCAGCATGATTCATTTGTTTGACCATTTAAATTGGCACCACAAATCTTTGCATGATAAGTACAAAGTTGAATGTCATCCAAAGCAAAAGTCTATTTTGGATGTCTGTGTAGATTCTCAATCACCCACTTCATGATAATCTGAAGGGCTTCAGTAAAAAGCAACTGGCTTTCTCTTTAAGATTTCTTCAAGACATTTTACCTCTCATCTGAGAGGCTTCTTCAGTTCTATTTTGGATGTTTTTACCAATGTTACACCATATGAGAAAGGCTCCAATTGTCTTGCCCTCATCGCACTCAAGTTGTTTTTAAAAATTTTCTGCACAGATGCTCGTTTCAACTAAATCATCCTCAACCATCCTTTAATTCTTTCCAAACAGTTATTCAAGTCATGTGGTAAAACGTTCTGCTGTTTTTTTTTTTTTTAAATCACAATAAAATAAATATTTTTTCAATACCTTCCTGTAATTTATCAAAGAATATTTTGGGATGTCACTGTTTACAAAAAAAAACCCCTATCAAACTCTAACAACAGATTTGTATTTATGTACAATACATATGTACAAATGATGGAAAAACAAAAGTACTGTGCAGCCCTGATATAAACGTTGCAACACTGAATTCAATGAGAACATAAGATCATTTCCTTACACCAATACCTAAAGGTCTTCTCCAACATCATTACAACCCCCCAAAAGAAAAAACTGAATACTGTTCAAAGTTAAACAGAGAATATACAGGGTTTTAATACAAGAATATGAATCAACAAAAGTAAAACTGTTCTCTTCCTGTGTTAGGTGACTCATCGAGGTTATTTTAGATCTGATGCAAAATAAATTCAATCAACCATTTACCTCACTTCCACTTTTGATGACGTCATCCACCATCGCCCCGACGTAGCGCACACAGGACTCGGGGATGTCTGCATGCCTGGTGGACAATGAGTTATTATATTTTAACACCTTCCTCAAACCCATACCTGCAGTTACCTCACTGGCGTTTTCTGTTTTGGCAGATGCCGAAGTAAAACAAACCTCAACCTTCTTATTATTAACCCAAAACCCCGGTTCTGTTCTTCCCAATAACGGTCGGCGCTAGCATGTGCTAGCCTGCTAGCTCGCTAACGTGAACCACCTTCGGATCCGCCAGCGGCACGCAGCATGAAGCGCACTGGGAGGAGACGGAGCTCTGTGTGGGACTGCTTTGAACAAGTGGGCAACTTCGTCCGCTGCATGAAATGTGACGCTACTCTGAAGTACTGCGGAGGAGCCACCAGCTCCATGATGAACCACATGAGCAGACACCATCCGTCCAACGCGCCTCTGGACGAGGACGAGAAGCCGGTGATCTGTAACGTCCAGTGTCTGGAGGACGAGAGCACGTCTAATTCAGACATCATGCAGGTTGCCATCATGTCACCCAACATAAACATGACTGCCACCCCTCCTGAGCGGGACTACGGGGAGAGGAAACGCCTGAAGCGGAGCTCAGTCTGGGATATTTTCATCAAAGTGGACGACGAGGTTCATTGCACGATGTGCGACACCAAACTGAAGTACAGGAGCAGCACCACCAGCATGATGTACCACATCAAAAACAAGCACCCGGACACCATACCTAACGACGGCGTGTCGCTGGCGACACACGCAGAGGTGACTGAACTCATCTCCAGAATGATAGAAAAGGACATGCTTCCCATCAGCATGGTCAATGGTGATGGTTTTCGTGAGCTACTTGCGTACACTGTGCATAATTATAAAATGCCATCTACTGGAGATATAACACGCATTATTGAAGGCCACTTCCATGATAAGGTGGAGGAGCTGGTGGTGCAGCTGGGTAAAGTGGAGAAAGTAGCTCTCACTGCAGATTTCTGGACAGCGCTCCCATTTCAGAGGTACATTACAGTTTCCTGTTCATTCATAACAGAAGACTGGCAGGGGAGGTCAGCTGTGCTGCAGACACACAGGCTTTCGTCAGAGGGTCACACAACTACAGACAACGTCACCGAGCGGCTTCTCAGCACCGTGCAGGCCTGGGGTATTGCTGGGAAAGTGACTGCATGCATTCATAACAACACACAGAACATCTTGTCGGCCCAAGCGTGTGCCCGCGTCACCTGGGACTATGCCACTTGCTTTGCCACTACGCTGCAGCTGGCAGTCAGTGATGGCCTGAGTGAAGATCTCGTCCGCATCATCGTTGCAGCAGGGAAACTCGTGAGGCACTTCAATCACAACTTGCTGGCGAGTGAAGCTTTGGAGCAGAAGCAAGTCCAGATGTGCCTGCCGCAGCACAAGCTCATACAGTCGAGCAAGACCAGATGGGACACTATCTGCGACATGTTTGAACGGCTGCTTGAGCAGCGGTGGGCAATAAAAGCTGTTCTCTCTGATCGAACCATCACCAACAGACATCAAGCGCAGACTCTTGAGATTGAAGATGACTGCTGGCAAATAATTGAGAATTTCACACCTGTGTTGGCGACACTGAAATGGGCAACAACAGTCATATCTGCTGAAACAGAGGTCTCCATCTCAAACATCTACCCAATCACGTTCAGCCTCATTCAGACTCACCTTGTGCCAAAAGAAAATGATGTTGAACAAGTCTCAGAGTTCAAGCTGAAAGTTCAGAAGTCACTTCGAAATCACATGGAGGTAAGCATGAGTTAATGCTGACTTTCAGTTTGGCCTTGACTGAAATACATTGATGTGGATTAGGATAAACAGTCCCCATTCCTTTTACATAACTACATCAGTGTCATTTCATTCCTCTCTCTGCAGGTTGACTCGAATGAATTAGCTTCAAAACCAGCCCTGGTCGCCTCTATGTTGGACCCTCGCCACAAACACCTCAGCTTCCTGACGCCAACTGGGAGACTGGCTGCAAAAGTTAAACTGCATGAACTGGTTTCAAAATTAGATGTAATAACGACTACTGTGGGCACGAAGGATGAGCAGCAGGAGACCCTGATCACGCCTGATATTAGCCAGGTGGCTATGCCCTCTCAAATGAGAAGTGACACCAAAAACACCATGGTGTTGCTCCTTGGAGACAACTACAGTTCCTCCTATGCCACAGACTCCGAGGCTCAGGTAGACTACTACTTGAGAGACATTGCTCCCTCGCTGGACATAAACCCTCTTGACTGGTGGCGGGTAAATGGACCAAGATTCCCCAAACTGGCCACTCTGGCAAGACACTATTTGTGTGTACCTGGAGTATCGCTACCATCTTTATTGTCGGAAGCTGGACAAACGTTTGCAACAATGCGTACGAGATTGAGCCCAGAGCACGTTGACATGATGATCTTTGTAAACAGAAATCCATAACTTGCATGACCTTACAGGGTAAAGATGCACACTGGCTTCCTATATCAACAACAGAACAAGGTTACTGTAGGGCGGTGGGGAACCATGGGTGGTGGGTCAAAGAGGTCAAGGAGGATGGAGAGACAAACATTAATGCAGCAGCCACTCTTCTCTTTCGGTATGTACTATTTGCTGGTGATAACAGTGCTATGAACTAAAATGTATTCCATCAACAAAAAGCTTCAACATCTTCCCTCAACAGTTGTTGTAAGCTGAGCTGTAGTCAAACATGTAACCACATCCAAATGTAGTTCTGAGTGATAAAACAGAGCGATCTGTCTCATCAAGTCAACATGATGGCTGACACGCAGGGCATTAAGCAGTGGGAAGTGGGAAAACAATGTCAGTCATATTTAAGTAAACATATAATTACACATTCAACATCGTGTGTCAGACTGATCCAAGCATCGAGAGGAAGAGGCTAACTGTATCGGGGGAAAAAAGAAGAAAATGTACTGGTTTGTTCCTATTACCTTGATAACATACTGAATAACTGTACTATCAATACAACTAGTAACTCAATTACCACACTAATCACTGTACTCAAACCAGTATTAATGTCATTTCTGTTGTGTCTCTCAGTAAGCGCTGCCAAAAATAAAATACATACAGCTGCAGTAGGTGCGTGATGATCTGTTTGGGGACCAGCCGCTTTTGGCACATGCTCTCTCCATCCCACAGCACGGCTTCAGTGATGGCACCGTCCTGGAAGCGACGCAGCTCGGAGCGAGGGCCCCACAGCTGACGAAACGCAGCTGCCTACCAGGACAATTAAAGCATGAGTACATGAGCGTGGTGACATAAGTGATAGAGGTTTGTCAAACAAAAAACTGTGACCATGAGACAACAGGTTAATATCTTTTGCATGCTAATGATCAAAATAAGAGTGAAACATGGTCATAAATGGTATATTTGTTGAGATTACTGCAGTAGGACAATATTCGTAAGAAATGTTTACAACCATACTTATGGTAAAATATGTACAGTAAAGTAGAATAGTAAAGTTCTTTCTTATTATGAGAAAATAATTTAATTTAACCTTGGTAAGAATTTACACACAAAGTGTAAAATTCTCTAGTGTTTACAATACATGACATGGTAAATGCAGAGTTGCATTAAGTAGGAATGCAGTACTAAAACAAATGGGCTCTGTGCTTGTAGCATGCTATTGATTTTACACTCATGCAGTATGAAGTGAAACAATTTTCAATTTTTCAATCTCACAGGTAAAACGGGTAAAGCTTTAAATGTATATTGTAGAGAGACGGTTAAGTTACCTTGGGGCTGTCTGCTGGTGGGCCTCTTTCTAGGACAGAAGCTGCCAGCTCTGGCCTTAAGAGTAAACCGAAGGAGAGGGGAGGCTGAGCTTTGTACTTTGGGGCTTCACACTCCACAGACCACTGTGATGAAACAAAAAGGATGATTTAGATGTAGTCCACACGCACACAGGTACCTTTTTTTCATTTAGAACTGGGTTTTCCTCTTTTATTGCCAAGAAAAATATCTCAGTCTACCTGAATACACAATTGCTCAATATGGCAGAATAACAACTGTACATTTATGTGTGAACATGTAGTCCTGCCAGCTAGGTTTGTACTGGTTGTATTTTAGCTACCTGTGCCATTGCACAAACTTGCATCATGTAGACAAAGGAGATAACAGCATACAGATACTGACATTTGGAGCCAAAAACCTGTCTGCATGTCAGCACTGCAAATGGAATATCTGAATATCTGGAAGGAGTTTTCAAAAAGTTCTTTGTTCAGTGATGTATAATTGCTTTTTTGTGCTGTTAGAGCTGAACTATTCGTGCTGATTACATCTGGATTTGTTAAAAAGAGCTTGTTCTGCCAGCTGAGTAAACGTGAATGTAAATAAATCTCACCTCAGGATCAGGAGACAGGGAGTGGGTGAGGAGGTGAATCCTTTGGTCCAGTCCTCGCTGGAGCAGTGTCAGAATGAAAGGAAGTGCAGTGTGGACATAATTTCCACTGTGGTCCATCAACTCACTGAGGAGATTCAATTTCTTACAACTGGACTGAAGCTTCACCAGCTCACATAACCTGAGTAAAGATAAAAAGCACAAAACAGAAGAGTCGACATGTTCAGCGTGAGAAAGACGCTTTTTCCCAGTACTTTCATTATAGCTGACATTAAACACTGTGACAGTCAATGTGTCAAAGGAGAAGGTGTCATGAAAGGAAACCGTCATTACCCAGATTCTATTATGGCGACACTTCATAGACAGTGGAAAATTTAGTTTTTTAAAGAGGAGGTGCAAAACTAAGCTGCTTATGTAGTGCACAAGATGGATTAGATTTAATTAGGTTCTGTTGCATTAGTTGATAGGTGCAGACATACTGGAATACGTGGTCGCTTGTCCTTATCATGGGCTTGGGCGTCATGAGGAGGCTGTGGAACCCATCCACTGTGGGGTTGTCCCAGAACTGCATCGACACAGATGCCTCATGCTGTAGCTGAGAACCAAATTTTTTTTCAAAAAAGGTCAAAACCAGTTGCATAATATCATCAGAAAAAAAACGGTCTTCAAAAACACTACTGTTTTACATGACCTACCTGTTTGTAGGTGCAAGCAGTCATGTCAGCGCACATGTTGAGATGTCCTGAAGGGTCGACAAACACCACCTGGAAAGCATTGTGGAACTCGGCAAGAGATGGCTACAGGGATGAGAGAAAAAAAATCAGGGATAATAATGAATCATTTATGAGGTAAACAAAAGTCTGAAAAACTACATGCATAAGTTTACTGTTTTTTTTAAAATTTGAGGTAGACCACTTACAGCTGTAGAATCAGGATCTCTTGCTAGGCTAATTCCATTCACCGTCAGGTCTGTAGACGCTATAGGACAGATGAGAGGTGGGTAAGTTGCAAGATCTTCAAAAAAGTTCTTGGCAAATTACTGCTTAACTACCATACATCAGATTCCTACATCTATGAGAAAATAATGGCTAAGTAGCCTGAAATTCTCTTACCCAGGAAGTTCAAGCTGTTTCGAAGCAGCTGATAGGCTGTCATGGTGTTACTGATTCTGTGAGTAGTCAGCAGGTAAGCCAACAGCATTGAAGTCAGGAAGCCATTAAAGCAACCTGTACCCTAATAAGACATTGAGAGAGTAATACAGATGTAAGGTGAGATTAAAAAAAATTTTTAAAAAATCAGGGAAGAATAAAAAAAAAGATTTAAACAGAAAGAAACAAGCTCTTTGCAACAAGCAAAGCAGCGTCTCCAAGCTTCCTACCTGGTTGAGTTCTCTTTGACGTAGCCAGACTTTGAGCAAAGCAACCCCGTCAGCAAAAGCTGAGCACTGGGAGCTGACAGCAGACAGAAACTGGAGGTGAGCCCTGGGCAGTAAATCCCCCAGAACAGAGCTATTGTAGTGCGGCGTGGGAGGCTCGCTGATCTCTGTAATAAAACAAACAAACAAGAAAAGAACATATGTTTTAATGAAACCGACATTTCAGTTGAACATGTGAAGAAGGACTCTGTCTAAATGTCTGACAAAAGGTTGATTAGGTAGCTCTGATGGATAATAGTTGAAGAGCAAGGCATACAAATCTACAATCCTACCAGAGTGGGATGTCTGCAGTCCAGTGTACCACTCTGTCCGGATGTTATTCCTCTCGGGATGCAAGCGGCTGGGCTTGAAGAACCCAGGAGGTGGACAGGCATGAACACGGACAGTGAAGCTCGAAGAGTTTTTATCTGAAGGAAAGGACACCACAGGACACCTTGTCTCGCAATCATTACACTAAAATCTTGTATTAATTTTGTACAATAGACCATAAATTAAAACCTAAATACCCGGAGGGGTCAGCAGCAGAACGGGTCGGAGTCGGTTGCCATGGAGACAGGAATAACGCATGGTTCCGATTTCAGAAGATGATGTGAGGTGCTGGGCCAGGCCTGCCAGGTACAGAGCTCTTTTCCTTGGATACCTCTGGTTTACAACGTCTTTTGGGTGAAGAACATCCTAATAACAGAAAGATGAGCCGACAGAAGACATTCATGTTTCTTAGAATCCTGTATCTGTACCAACATGTTGCATTTAGTAAGCTTAAAAAAAAACAAAAAAAAACAGGACAGGTGACTTACAGCTGGGATTGTCACAGCCAAGTCCACCATGACATGTGGTTTGGTGCAGATGCCCAGTGGATAACTCCCGATCAGATCAATGGAAGCTGGAGGGGCCATGTGGAACTTTCCCTTTGTTATTTTGGGCACCAGGAGAAAAGGGACCTTAACTGCACTAGACAGCCATGACAAGTCACTGACCTGAAAACACAAGGAGACTGTTCAACTGCAGTTACAGATGTGCGAATTTGTAGAGAGCTGGATGCCTGGAGGTGAACCTCTATGGTTTATCCTGAAGCTTTTTTTACTGTTAAAATACTACATACCTCAACCTCTGGTGAATCCGGCACAGTCTGAAGCAGCTTGGTGACGGTTTGAACAAAGGAATCTATTTGCTGTTTCCTGCGCTCACTCAGGGCGACTTCTTTCAGCAGCTCCTCCATCTGATTTTGGTGAGAGATTGTATACATTTAGCAGGAGTGTGTGAAAGTTCACGTGGTTATTGTCTACATGAGAAACACAGGCTGGAGAGACGCAACCAGATTCCTGTATCTTCTCTTGTCACTCATTTCTTTCAGAATCATAGACAGACTCACATATACATACTTCACTCATCCCCTTGGGGAAATTCAAGTCATGTCAGTAAGTTTGTGGTCTTACCTGCATTTTCAGGAGGCTGCAGTGAAACAGGCTTTCAGCCTCCTTCAGCTGGTTTAGCTCCTCTGCTGTGGGAGGTCTGTACAGATCATTTCGGGACAACTTCACCGGGTGATAAACCACCTCCTCCTCCCCTCCAGCATCAGGTTTGCTCCTTTTGGCTTTAATAGGAGCCTCATTTTCCTCCTCTGATGGAATCATCTGTAAAAACAACAGCCGCAGGTTTAACTAAACGTTTAACATTACACTAATAGTATAATCTTTAGGTAGGATGTAGAAGGCAGTCAGAATAAACATTAAACATCACATAAAGTAATGTGACAATTGTGAGATAATTCTGGTGTTTGTGTTACCGACTGTATCTCTCGTACATTTAGTTTCCTATAATTATTTATAAAGTATTATCATCACAGATGAAAGAAAAATGATTGGAACAACACAGAAATGTCGTCCGGCAGAAACACTGAATCTATGTTGATGTCCGACATTGAAACCAAACCTTAGACGACCACGAATTAATACTAATTAAACCATTATCTAAAAAGCCAGCGTAAATTTAGTTGATTAAATATTATAATAATGTTGGTGAAACAATACTGATTCAACCATTACCTAAATATCTGTCTGTTTCTAAAGTGTATTGAAATTACTGAGGCAAAACTTTTCTAAAAAAAAATGTAAGTCTCATGAGTTTTTCATATCTGAATATCTTAAGAAAATTAACACGAAGAAATACAACATTCCTAGAATACTGTGTTGCATATACAGTGGTCCAAACACACCAAATAATGAATTGTTGGCAGATTTTAAAGTGGTATTATTTGATTAAAATGACCTTTGTACATTTTTGAGATGAAATATGATTTGTTTTTTCAAACTGCAGCACCCGAGTAACACTAACAGTTACAATTTTATATTTTAAAAACATCCCTTTCAGAAAACTATGTAAGAACACCTTAACAATTTTTGACCTTGTTAATAGGTCTATATGGTGTTAATATATCTCATAAGAAACATCATGAGTGAAATAAACAGACAACACCATGCCTGAGCATTTCCACCTTGAAACTGCAGCGTATTAATGACGCATATGCACAGAATACTGACACAATTTTAATGATCAAAAATAAGCCATACTACATTGTTGATTCAACCACGTTTTTTCTCCACACAATTAAACGATTTAAAAGGTTGATGTTTAAAAAGTATTGATGTTTAACCTTCACCAAATATCAATCTTTTTGACAATAAATGAGCTTTCACTATCTGAAAATAGCAATGTAAATGCAACATTGCAGGCAAAGCATGCGAGCATCACCCGCGTACCAGTCAGTAAAACTGTCTTGTTTAGCAGGAGCTAGCTAGTTAGCAGCTAAAATCACAACAAATGGAGCTAGCCTTACCTCTGCTGGCTCTTCTGTAACCACCTGCTTCTTCTTCTTCATGGCTAAATTGCTTTCAGTGTGATTATAAATCCGAAAATTTGAAAGTTATGGTTAACACTGCTCTCCCGTCCCTGCACTCTCACATGTGCCATGGGTGAGACAAACTTGCTACCAAGCAAAATATTTCTCTGATTGGTTCAGCGGAAGCGGCGCTGAAAGATGATTGGCTCACTGCAGGTCGACTGTCGCCTCGCTTTTAACAAGGTAGGTTGCATGAGCAAGTGTCCCGATTGGTGCTTTAGAGATGCTACATTCAGTGTGCATGGGGAAATAACCATGAAGTATGAACGCAAAGCTCATCAACAGGCCTCTACTTCACTTGCTGAATAAACAGAAGTGGAAAAAGGCGCAAATGGTACGTTGTTTAATGTTTAAATATTTAATTATAAACTCATTAAAATTAGGAAAGCTACATTTACTTGCAGTTTATTGTGTTAGATGCTATGTTGCAGAATGTCAAAGTCAGAGTCAAAGTTACGAAACCTCACCCAAGTTATCGAGTAGGAAATTTGACTTCTGGTGACGTTTTCAGATTTTTCCAAGTGGCATTTGGTTTATCCGAGTTACCAGTTGCCATCGAATGCAGCACGATACAGCTTGGATTCCAAACCCAAACGTATATCCATGCAGTAAATACATTTATTCTAATATCAAGTACAAAAACATTAATGTAATACATTTATTTCGACAGTTCGTAGCTGTTTTGTTGTTTTTTTTCCCCCTTCTTCAAATTACCACACATGTATGGCAGATGTTTGCAGTCGCTGCAGATTTCTGTGCATGTGGTGAGTTGCCAGTTTGTAGAGAGGTCTTTCTGTTTTTTTTTACCAAAACATACTTGAAAGTAAAAACTCTCATGAGATAGTCCAATTTTCTTGCTTCACAGTGTTGTTGTATTTATATAAGGCACTGCTATCTTAAATTATGTTTTCTGGGATACATTGATTGAACAAATAGCTTTCTTGTTGCTCATATTGTAATTAGATTCAATCTTTGAGCTGCAATGTCCCTGCAGGGCACTTTGTTTACAGACAGCAGTCAGTGAATAGTAAATAAACTAAAAACAAATAAACAAAAAGAATACTAAAACGGACACCAGGATCTTTCTGCGGGGAGTTTGCATGTTCTCCCCGTGCAGCGTGGGTTCTCTCCGGGTTCTCCGGCTTCCTCCCACACAGTCCAAAAACATGTTGAGGTTAACTGGTGATTCTAAATTGTCCATAGGTGTGAATGTGAGTGTGCTTGGTTGTCTGTCTCTAAGTGTAGCCCTGCGATAGACTGGCGAGCTTCGCCCTGAGTCAGTTGAGATAGGCTCCAGCCCCCCAGCAACCCTCGTGAGGATTAAGCGATGTATAGATAATGGATGGACGGAATACTAAAATGTATATAATTTAAATATATGTATAATTATATGTTATCATTACTGTACTGCAAATGCAGAGAAGCACACAAATACATGGGAGGATAAAAATTAATCTTTTCAAAGCATGTATAACCACTTTTCACAACTTTACCTGCAACAGAGGCTATGTTTTTTGTTGCTGTTGTTGTTTTTTTATTTTTTAAACTGGGCTTATCTTTTTATTATTTGACATAACGACCATTCTCAAAATACAAATACAGACACCACTAACCCTTAAAATCAGTTTTCACAGCTCTTGGGCTGAAACAATGGAGTGACCTGAGGTGGTGGACCACTGGTAAGCTGATCAACTGAATAAAGTGGCACAGCTACGCTCCTCTGTATTGGCCTCAGATTCATAAACTGGGTTGGATTGTTGAATTTGAGAGGGTTAAGTTCAACAGACTGGGGATTCGAGAGAGAAACACCCTTGGCCAAGATCATTGTTTCCAGTCTGAGAGGCCTGGTCTGCTCAGTCTGCTCCTTTCCATGTTTAGAAGGAGACAGTTTCTTCAGACAAGGATCATCTTCACTTTGTCTCTGAAACATTTTTGGCTGATCCTTGGAGCTGGTTAGTGGCTTCAGTGACGGTAATGTCCTGTCAGCTTGCTGCTTGTTATATCTTGGCTCTAGTCTGGATAGTCCATTTGGTTTCTTCAAGTTGGATTTTGTGTAATTGTTATCCACAATCTCAAACTGAGGAAAAAGACAATGTTGAGGCAAGCTGAGCTTATCAAGCTTTGGTATGCGGTGGCAGTTCTTTTGCGGATGTTGTGATTGAACAGAATGTCTTATATTTTTACCCTCTACCTCCACATCCTTTTTTTCTGGTGAGCAGGACAAGGGTGGTAGTAATTTGCCTTGAACATGTCTGGCAGATAAATGAATCTGCTGCTTTTTCTTTGGATCAGTTTTTCGTGGAAGGCAAGGATCAACCACTTTACAGTGCTTGTCACTGACAAGGCTCTGGAGACTTATTTCATTCTTAGTTTGTACTGAAGAGCTCTCTGTTTGGGCCACAACATTATATTGCTGGTTGACACTTAGCTCTGTTTGTGCTAGGACCTGGCCACCATCCACCTCCTGTTACAAAGGACATACATAGATATATTGAAGATATGTATCCAGATAACTTTAAGTTGAAATTTGAAGAGAAGACTTCATTATATTGAAGAAATGTTATATATCAAGAGCACCTGTTGTGAGGTGAGATGAGGTCCATGGGTAGCATATATAACAGGAACACATCCTTCAGCCCAAGCATCTGGAATCCCTGGCACAGGCTCAGAGTCTTCTGTTCTAGATGCTTCTTCTTGGTCTTCTCCCTCATCAAGGCACAAGACTTGGCACTCTAGAGTCTGTGTGAGGTAGCCCATGGCCCAGGATGCGCAGAAAGGTATTAGCTAAAAAAAGACAGGCAGCATAATAGATGTTATATTATATTCAACAATTTCCCTGAGGTTTCACCAAAGGGATCAATAAAGTTCTATCCTATTCTATTCTATTCTATTCTATTCTATTCTATTCTATTCTATTCTATGTACAGGCATTATGTCTAGTCAAAATGAAAGCAATATAAAAGATTTGATTGGTCTGTTCTTAGAGAGAGTCAGTAAGTGATAGAATGTTAACATTTAACTAAAATTTAAACATAAAGCTTCTTTGCATCTTGAGTTTTACCTGTCTGTCAATGTCCACCTTTAAACAGCTTTCCATGACCTTACTCAATAGTTCATCCATGATCTCCCCCACTATCTCATCTGCATCCTCCTGGATCAACATGTCTGTCCGTTGAGCCTGAGTTAAGCAACCAGGAATAATATATTCCTCTTCTGGGTCTTGCGATGGAGGTGGTGTCACTTGGACAGGTGACCTACGTACATGCTTGCCGGTTCGGGATTTAGCTGCTGAGCGAGGCATCTTGGCTCAGAGGCTGGTGTGAAACATGAAACATGCGTTAAATAACAACAAAGATGTTTTTGATGATAAAGAATGTGATGTCATCACACACACAAAAAAAACTTAACAACTTAGCAACAGTGTAGACTTTTTAACTGTCTAAATACCTGTCATCCCATTCATAACTGCATGAATGCATCTAACTCTGAAACATGTACGTTTCTTATACTTTTTATGCATGAACAAATAACTCAAATAAAATGTCTACACTTACTTAGAAAGGATTGGCAGTTCAATTGAATATGTCACTTGCCCTCCTAAAACAGTTAGTTTTCGTGATTTTCCTCAATATATAAATTATGATTCAGTGTCAAAGTAAACAATTTCCAATCTTACTAAGATAGCATAATGCTTTGTCATTTGAAGGATCCTGCTGGTATTATGAAATGGAGGGTAAAATCTTACCCTTTGCATCATTACACAGTACTTTAATCAAGTCTTAACAAGTTGCATATTAGCATGGGAACAGTACTTTTGTCAGCTGGTTCAGTTTGCTGGCAGCTACACCTGGAGCATGAACCATGGAGCAAGATTAATGGGTTCAGGTTGTTCAGTTATTTTTGGACTCCATGGATGTATCAATGCTTTGGTTCGGCTGATCAGATCACAATCTAACAGTGCAATTACTGACAATGACATCACTGGATAAACAGAGTGATCACCCTGCAGGATCCTGACAGGGGCATATGAGTTTACAATCAAGTGACAAATAACTAAAATTACATTTAATAGCAATAACATGATTTTAGCACGACTTCAAGGCCACTAATGTATTTTCTTGACGTGTAGTTGACAGCCTGGTGTCTCTGTTCTGACTTGGTTTTTTATCATTCAGGGTACACAATACTTTTACATCCAGGTAGTAGAAAGATGGTGCCAATTTTAAACAACCTAGTAGGTTTTTTGATATTATCGGTGAATTTGCTGTTGTAGCAAATAATGCTAGGTCTTTGAATCTAACGAGCGGTAGATGCTAAAGCCAGACACAACCATAGATCTACCAGTTTTAGGTAACTAATTACGCACTGTAAAAACTGCTAGCTATGCCACCACACCGTCGACTATAGGTTTATTCTTTATAGTCTATATTATGCTGTCAGAGCTCAGGTCAAGTGTATAAAACTTTACCTCAGTCTTCTTGTACCCTCTGCTCCGTGTATTTTACGGTTGCTCAGCAACCGAGCACGCAAAGCTGACGTAGGACGTAGAGGTACGTTGTCTCTATGGCTGCGGAGGACGCATAGGTAATCCTGTTGCTAACAATAGCCAGAAAAGTGCTCCGTTCACGTTAACTTCACTTGTAATAATCGCTCACGATAGCACCAATGGAGGCAGAGCGACATTCTATATAATCCGAAGCAAAGGTATGTGTAACGTGTCACACAAAAGCAACGGGGTCCTCTTTTATTTGTAGTTGGATACTTGCTAACACAACTAGCTTGCTGCTAATCTAGTGTTGCCATTCGCTGCGAAATAACGGAGGGCTCACGTGTAGGCTGTGTTTTATTGATAATGCTAATTTAATGAGGACCTTTATTTTCTTCTTTTAGACTAAAACCAGATTTCACACTGTTTAACAAGCTGTTCAAAGAAGACTGCTCGATGTATCACAAAGAAAAGAGCATCCAAATAAAAAACAGCGCCTCAGCGTTGTACAACAACCTGAGCGTGCTGCGCATCGCCCCGAGGCGTCTCACCTACTTCACGGTGGTCCATGCCAATGTGGTCAACATGGTCAGCGCGTCCTGGGACGGACTCAACTACTCCCACCGCCAGCTGCAGTCCAAGGAGCCTAACGTCGCCACCAGCACGTCTCTCATCATGCAGGTCAGGCCACAGTGCAGCTCCTGCAGGTCTTAACGTGCTCTACCTGTCAGGCACTGGCACTGCTTTCTTAATGGGCTGTTTCTCCAACACACCTAATTTCAAATGAGAAAAGGGCCAACTTTTTTTCTATTTATTCAGCCATATGAATCGTGTTTGCAATTGTAGCCTCATTTTATGTAGAATGGTAACTAAGTAGAATCTAATTTTGACACTACTTTTCAAAACCGAGGTTACTAAGTGCTTTATAAAAGAATGAAGAACAAAGGGAGAGTCAGTAAAAGCAAAAACTTATTAAATTAACAGTTTGATACATGACAAATCAATCAATCAATCAGTTTATCAAATTAACCTATCATACAGTATATATTTATTTGTAGCCCAAGTTTTGACACATTGACATCTGCACAGGCTTATTTGAGGGAAAAACTTGTGATAGTTACTGAATGTTTTATTTATACATTGAGGATTATTGCCCCGCTACAATGACGTAAAACTTGGAACCAGTTTAAGAACAACTGTCGACACTGCTCTCAAATATCAACGTTCACACCCTCAAACACTTTGAGTATTGAAAGTAATCATACAGTCAAATTCACTGATAAATTTACATTCCAGTCATTTGGAATGAAGTGCTAAACAATAAAAAATATTTAAAAAAACATTTCACACAGTTAGGAAAGTTTATAAAAATGATCAACTGTATTTTCTTTGTTACCTTTAACATAGTTTTATTTTGTCTTTTTGTCTTTTGCTCTGGTATTTTGTACGCGCATTTGTCTGGATGACAACAAAACAGGCTGCATTCTGTGTGCTGCCCTCTCGTGATCTGCTGGTGGTGACCTCTCAGAAGGGCATTCAGGTGAGCTCTTGTTTGCTCTGTCATTTGCAGTCATCATATTTGGAGGAGGCACTGCTTTGTTTGCTACTTGTCTTCTTAGTCGTATATTATGATGGTGCAGAAGCCCACACTGAATCTAAAAGTAAGTAAAAAAAAAAAAAAAGGTGCAATACTTGTTTTTGCAGCCTTACTCTATCGTGTAAATTTATTGTTTTTAGATGTATGAATCGGATGGCTCCATCATGGTGTATTGGCATGCACTGGATACTCCAGAAACACCTACAGGTAAACTCACATGTTAACTGTGTTTGCTACACACGAAGGTATGCACCCGGAGATGGACCTGTTTCACTTGTTAAAACTTCAAAAAGATCAGATTTACTGTAAGTTGAAGTATAATGTGTGATGCAATTATTCTATGATGTTCCTGGAAGTGTGTCAGTGCAACTGATCCATCCTCATAACGCAAACATAATTAAAACAGCAGTGGGAGGTTCTCATTATTATAATGAAATAAACCATTTTCAAGGCATCTACACCTACATTATTAAATCAGTGGCAGTGAAAACATTGTACTACAATGTATTTCTGATTTGTCAGGCTTACTGTTATCTTTGTTTTTCCACACATTTATACATTTGTGTATAAATGCATTTTTGTGCAATCACACATTTGTATGTCAAAGAAAACTGCTAGTGCAGAGTTTTATATCAAATCTAGCGCACTCACAAAATGTATTTCTGTCCCAGAACAGGCAGTGTTTGCTCGAGGGATATCAGCAGTGTGGGAGAACTATATATGTGTGGGTAAGTACTGAGTGGCATATATCTCCTTGCATGAACTGAAAAGGGCAAAACTCTACAGCCTACTTTTCTCTTTCTCTTTTTCTAGGTGTTTCATCCGGTGCAATTCTAGTATTTGACGTTCCCAGTAAAGGAAGTAATATTACCCTGTCTGAGGTCCTGGAGGAGCACAAGGAGTCCATCACCGATATGGCCTCGGAGTGCTCTGGCAGCCAGGTACAGTGTGTGTGTGTGTGTGTGTGTGTGTGTAGGTGTGTGTGTGTGTGTGTGTGTGTGTGCTTTTTTAGCTTGTTCATTGTCCATTTATCTGAACCTTTGTTGACACAGGATAGCTCAAACTTTTCCACGAATAACAGACTATCTAAATAAATGATTACTTTATGTAATGCTTCTAGACACCACAACCATTCTATGACTTACGTAATCCCTCCCACTCTGTGCTGTCTCTGTCCCTTCAGGAGTGCATAGCTAATCTGGTCACTGCAGATGATGAGGGCAGCCTGTGTGTGTGGAAGTCCGGGGAGGAATTCCAGCTGCTCAACAAGATCCCTGGTTTTGAGTAGGAAGTTGATTGTATTATAGTTTTGTGATTTTTGGTGCGACACCGAACTTGGTGACAGTTAACCAATGGTGCCAGAGTGACCTATGCTGAAGCTTTATCATCACTAATCCCTTTTCTTCTGTCACTTTCTCCTCTATCGCTCTATCTTCCTGCATCGTTGTACTTATCTACTTTAATTTATGTTTTTTCCCCACTGCCCTTTGCTTCTTCATTTCCTTTCCTTCCCTAATCTAATATCTATTATCTTTTCTCTCACTGATCCTCGCTGCTCTCAGTATGAGCTGCTCATCTGTCAAGTTGTGGAAAGGAACAGTGGTGGCGGGCTACGGCACAGGCCAGATCCGTCTCTATGAAGCAGTGACGGGAATTCTGCACGCTGAGGTCAACGCTCATGCTCGCTGGATATACTCACTGGACATTGCTCCCTTTTCTGGACTGGTGAGTTGCAGAGACCAAATGATCATTTTTTTCCTCCTACAGTTTAATATGTTGGTATTTATTATATGAACTAGCAGTTAACAATAAAAAGAGTTTCCTTTGTTTTTGTCAAATATGTTGATAAGTAAAAATATTCTTAAGTTTAATTAGATCTTAAGTCAGTTCAGATGATTCTCTATGTTTTCATTTTTATTTTTGGAATATTTTTTGACATACAGTATCTCAGACTCTTTGATGAGTGCCCTCCATCTCCTTGTGTGCTTTAGCTTCTGTCAGCTGCTGAAGACTCTCTAGTCAGGGTGTGGCATCTGACTATGACCCCAGAGACCAACAGTGTGGAGGTAATTGCAGAATACAGAGTCCAGAATCAAGCCACAACTGTTGGCAGTGTTCCCCAGTTTTACTGTATATGAGATATATTTTTCTCTTATTGTTAAGCTGGTGCTGACTGTGTGGTGTTCTCACTTCCTCCTAGGTGGCCCACTTGCATAATGAATGTGTGACGGATACACAAATCTGTGGCGCCAAGTTCTGCGATGGTGACGGCTATGCCTTCGCGGTGACAGGCTATGATCTGAGTGAGATTATCCGCTACGTACAGTCGTAGGACTTTGCCCTCAATGAGGCTTTGAATGTGATTTTGGTATATTCATTTTTGGGTATATTGAACATAGCATTTTTGGGGGGAGAAAAGCATTTTATGTAATTTTTGTGTCTATATTGCCATGAGTAAGAGGAAAATTAACATATAACAACGTGTCAGAAGTTTATGTACATATTTCAAGTTCAAAATTGCGTGGACATAGTTTTAAGAAAATATACTTTCAGACATTATTGTTGTTCCAAACAACTGCTCCAGTAAACATTTTATAGAGAAAGCTTGTGTTTGGGTTTTAATTTTGCACTTCACAAATGCAACAGTAGATGGGGCTGTGGGTTAAATATTTTCAGCAGGACAAGCAAGACAGTGTAGCACAAACAGATTCCACTAGAGGGCAGGGTGGAGCTGCCTAAGTTGTGAACTGAAACAGACAATTGGAGAAACTTGCATTGGGACTGTGTTCAGACCACAGGAGGCAGGCAGCTTGTGTCAGCCAGTAAACAGGGGCACATCACATAAGGAAGGTCAAACTTTTCCCTGTCATTATATTAGGTAATGTGTTAGATGGGCTTCTGTGCTCTTGTTCTCTTCCTGCCATGCCCGCAGTGTAACATGTGACGGATTTCAGTGTATAGTTTTCTGCTTTTATGTATTATTTATTTATTTTTCACAGTGCAAGCATTTAGATTTGAGTATATTTGAGTTTATCGTTTTATGATATCTAGCATGTATTTGTTACACTTACTTTGTTTGTGTCTTATTTTTTGTACTTAACATGCATTTAGATTTGGTGAAACGACTGCTGGAAATTACACAAATACCTAGAAAGACCTTTACTCAAAACAACTTCAACCTACTCCCTACTTTGTAATGTGCAAACTGATGCAGAACAAAACATCACAAAGCACAAAAGAGATATTGTTTTCTTGGATTTGAGATGAGCTGAATTTGTCTTTACTGGAAACAAATCTTACCACCTCAGCTGCACTGTTGTTGTACTCGGTCTGACTTATCGCTGGTCACATGAGTGTTTTTAGTTCACGTCAGGCAATCAGGTATCGTAATCCCACCTTATCGTGACAAGATAAGAAGAATCAGGTCAGTGAGGAATTGTGTGCTATTTGTCAGTCCAGGGCTAAGCGTGTACTAAATCCCTTAGTTCTAGTCTTTTCTGGTTTGCAGTCAACACTGGTCACATAACATCAGCTGACAAGACTGTTTTGAACCCACACACATGGCATGTTATGTAACTTAAATTTGGTAGGTACCAACTGTCGGTCATGTTAATGACTTGGACGGATCAAATGTAAAGCATTGCCGGGACATGAAGGCACATAGTCTTTATGGAATCGATAAATTTGACAAAGCAATGTTGTGTCATGCTCTCCAGCTGCATGGAAGGGATTGACTGACAACGCTGGCAGGAGAGGGACAGTGAAGGACTCGACTGTCAATACGAGGTCCCAAATGACATGGACACTGAGATTACATAACTAACTGGAACAGTGCAGAGGGAGGGAAAGGTTGGTCAAAAGTGATACATGAAAAAAGCAAAGGGCCGAGAGGGCAGACGAGGTACAGAGTCGAGCAAAAAAGTAAAGAAACAAAATGAGGGTAGTAAAGAAGAATATGACATCACTTTTCTCAGAAAAACACGGGTAAAAACAACAGCAGTCATTTATTCCTTGTTAAGTGAGTCAATAGTGCTATGTGAATCTCTAGGCCTGTACACAGCCCCAGGGCCACTCATGCTGTGTACTGCCACAGCACTTGTCAATAGTTGGCTCTTAGGTGTTACACACAGCTGAGCACACAATGTTGGGGGGAGATCAGACCTCGACATGAGCCGTTCTCAGATATGAATGTGGACTGCATGTGTGTCAAGTAATAAAGGCATTAGACCAACATTCTCCCACTCGTGTTCCCCAGCAGACGCTTGGAAATCTTTTATTAATGAGAGTGACAAGACAAAAATAGATTCAGCGAGACCTTCAATGAAAGACCCCAATGTGTCACTTTAATAAAATCACAGATTAAAAACACTGACCACAATATGCATAAGACGTATCCCCTTGGTGAAGTCGTCATGGGATGATTAGGGCGCAGGCTTTTTGTTCAGCTGTCCAGCACTTCAGGTATGTGTCAGAGTCTTGCACTCTCATTAATGAAAGTGAATCACCAGTGAGACGAGTTCGTCCAGTGCCCAGGCCAAGCTGTTCGTGGGTTTCGACCAAACCCGGTTTGTTAAATACCAACCCACAATACAAGTTCATCCATCAAGAGTAGTTCTGACCTTATATGCCAGCAGGTGTGGTAAATACCTGTCTTGTTTGTGTGAACACCACAACATATCATTTTAATCTGTTTGTTTGTGTATTTCTTCATTATTCTGGTGGAGTGAGAGCAATTTATCCCTTGCCCATCCAGCCCTGTGGCAGCTGCCTCTGCCTGTGTTGCTAAGCCTGCTGGGATAGAGCCTCACCAGGGGGATGAGGAACCTAAAGCCCCTCCAGCTTGCTGCCACAGACAGACCAGCTCTCTGACGAAGCAATCAGGAAACCAGCTCCCGCAGACGTGCTGTATAAATAGATCTTCCATTTTAAACACGCTGAAATGGAAAGGAGGAGAGTACTACAAACTGACAGACCTGAAAAACTGCCACTGCTGACTGACAGACGTGCAGATAGACAGGGTACGGCATTAAGGCAGGCAAACACGGAGACAAACCAGAACTAGGTCAAATAACATTTGCGAAGGATCAACAAAAAGCGGTGGCAAGTCTGTTTTTGTATAGTATATTTAGATACAGTACTGTGCAAAGGTTTTAGGCACTTTAAATGTGTAGATTCTTATCAGTCACACAATACCATCAGGGAGGCATCTGATCAGTCCTAAATTTATTTTGCATCATGAAAACAAACCCCAGATATTCAGCCATATCTTCAGTAAAAAAGAACAAGGAATCATGCAGCAGATGGTGTGGCCCCCACAGAGTCCCGATCGAGTCAGTCTGGGATTACATGAAGAGGCAGAAGCACCTGACACAGCCTAAATCCACCGAAGAACTGTGGCAAGTTGTCCAAAAGGCTTGTAACAACCTTCCTGCTGAGTACCTTGACAAACTACGCACGAATACACCTGTGAGAATTGACTCTGTTTTAAAGGCATGTATTTATTTTTCTGTTTGTTGCACTTTGTGTTTAGTTAATTTCTAAAAAAATATTTTTGAAACCAACCTCAGTACTCATTGCTAGACGTTTTGTTACATACCAACATAAAACTGGGTTTCTGTGTGTTTTGAGCACTCACTGAAATCTGTCTGTACCACTGAAAAGCTGGCATTGTATGCTTCGAGAGATTCCTATTCTTGCTCACATTTTCTGCATGAGATACTCCTATCAGCCACAGCATTCCCAGGGCCTTGATATGGGACCTCTGGGGGTGTCCTGTAGGGACTGACACTGGGACTGACAGCGGATCATTTGGGTCCTGTGGGGCCTCCGTTGACACGCTGCAGATACTTGATCGAATTGAGATCTGGGGTGTCGGGAGGCTGGGTCAGAGCCCTGGGGTTCCTCGAGCCATCCCTGAGCAGTTTTTGCAGTGCGGCGAGACTCACTGTCCTTCTTGAATAGGCCACTGGCACTGGGGAGTGTTGTTGCCATGGGGGTGGTGTGCTTGGTTTGGAACAATCTTTTGGTGGGTGGTGCATGCCAAAGTAGCATCTACATAAATGTCATGACCCAAGATTTACCAGCAGAAAACTGCAACGTAAAGTGAAGGTCAGTGCTATTCACTTTGCCTTCACCCTTGTTTCGTGTTGCAAGCTGGATATCAAACTGTTACTCATTACAAAACCGGTAGTTATGGAGAAACATTAGAATTTATTTAAGGTCATGTTTTGGCAAATGTAAGAGCAGTATTCACCCTCTGTTAGGCAACAGTACAATCAGCTGTTACTGCTTGTGGTAAACAAATGTTTCTCCAACCTTAATTTTTTAATCATTGCAAAGGGTCTGGGATTTTTAAGGTAATATTAAACACTAATTGATGTATTTGAAATTATTGTTTTTTCAGACATGCATATCCTTCAAAATAAGATAACAACAGAAATATTGCATGGTAGTAAGACTTACATACAGTGTTACTAAAAAAAATTAAACGATTTTCAAGTTTGCACGTTGTGATTGGAATGTATTAATCCTCATGCTATCTACTAAAATAGTCACGATAGAAAGTAATCGTAAAGCTTAGAAAAACAAATTACTCATATTGTGAACTGCCAAAGCCACAATACAAGTTGTTGTGATCATCTTGTGATATACAGAGTAGCTATGGACGGTTATATTCAATAATTTATTTCAAATGCACTTCAATATTTGATGTGATCAACATGGTCAAATGGTATGCTGCAGAGTATGCAGGAATACTCCAAGTACAAAGAAAGGAGGAAGAGTTTAAATTGGAGAAAGATGGGGTGTGTAACTCTGATTTGATTGTGATGATGATTGTTGTAAGTGGAATGTGGAGTGACGCCGCTCACCCAGTTTGCAAACAATGACAAAAATGGACCAAAGACAATGTAGCAAGGATAAAAAAAAAAGGGTGGATACAGGTGTAGTAGGGCAGATTAGTTGCATTGTTATGAACTAAATCAAAGTTGAGAGAGGCCAACCCTCCCACAATCATACTCACAGCTGGCGTGCATCACCATGGAAAGACACGCCCACACATGTTACGTCAAGACAGTTCACCCTTCCTGTCTAGTGTGGGCCTCTGATCTGGGGGAAATGTCAAAATCACACAGTAATGACTGACTCACTGTATCCCAAATATTCTCTGGAAACCATGACAAGTCGAGGTTCCATGGAAAAAAGAAAGATAAGGGCACATGTGTAGACTTAAGAATGAAAGGCTGTTGTAAGTTTTACCTTATTTTGAAAGTTTTGATAAGTTGAAACTCTTCTTTTGATGATGCATGTACTTTGAACATTATGCACACACATAATCAGTCACTTTCAAGAACTCTGGTTTTCCCATGTTCTGATCTTTAGAAGCTAATTAAAGATTTGCTGCCTGTTGTTCTATAAATAAAAGGCAATTAACTCGTCAGGAAATAGATAAAACTTCTTTCAATCATGTCTATAAAATGGTTTGTCGTTTGCTCACATTCCCAGTCACCCCTTAGACACAATGGGTTACACATTAAGCTCAATAATAGCCTCTAAACTACAGTGACACGCATAAATGCTTGACACCACTCCTCAGCAGTGACCC